GAACCGTCACCAAGACCCGCCTGTCCGAGCACCCGTTTGCTCAGTCTTGCAGGGTTTCGAGTGCCAGACTGCCAGGAAGAATACCAGTTAAAATTACAAGAGTCTGACCACTGCTGTCTGAGAAACATCCCAAGAATGAAGTACACCTACTTCATCTCGAATCTAATAGCTCACATTTGTAACAACAGCATCGTGAGGATATCATACGCATCAAACGAATACGGTCGAAGTTGTCTGGATAGTTTCCTTTTCGTCCACTCCAGAAGCTCTGTGGTGCTGCCTTTGACCCAACATCATCAGCTACCTGGAAGGCCTGAAGAGGCCAGCCGACTCAACTTCCTCCGTTACAACATAAAGCCAGTTGTTGGATATCTGGTATTTGGTCTCCGTTGTTCGAAGAGTGGTAAAAGGCTCAAAATCTGCTGCCACAGAACGTCACGTGCGGAGAACTACAATTGGCGAGATCACCTGGGTCAGCTAGATTATACCTGATCGCAGCCGTACGTAGTCAACAATAAAGGTGTGTTGAGCGAACATGCGAATTTTTCCTAACAACAACTAATGCCTTAGCATACATCATTTCAGACCAAAAGCATTGATGTTTACTTTTTAAAACTTACAGTTGTCGGGGACATTCCATCCGAATGACTTGGCATCTCCAAGGGAGTGGTCTGAAAGAAGCGACAACGTAAATACAAAATGAGAAAGCCTTCCTAATAATCCATCTTAAATTGTGCAAAGTCAGTTTGTTCTCGGCTAAAATCCCTCTCAGTAATTTTGCATCAAAATCAAGTAAGCGCTCCACACATGGCCTAACGTACTTGGGGCAGTAAAAAATGCCAACGTCCAGTTACATTAATGCGCTGGGTTGAATAAATTCTTCTGTATGTGTTGGAGATAATTAGTTCGGTTTTTTTTCGGTAGAAGTGTGTGGGAGAAGGAGCTTAGGTTGCTGTGAACAAAAGTATTACTCACTATACTATCCAGAGTTTAGTCGGACTAGCGAGGAGCAGTTGCCGTCTAAACCTACTCGTAGGGTCGACACGGAAGTGCATCCGCTCGATCGGGGCACTAATTTGGACAGAATTCAATTTGGGGGGAGGGGGCGACTGGATGATTTGCCATTTTGCCGAACGGTTATTGGATACGTCCCATGAACCCAAGACCCAACGACTATCAAAAACAGGCGTAAGAATAAAGTAGAATCATTCTGAAAAAGATACTGATATGATAGGTAAAAACATACGGAGGATGGCTGCTTGATGTATCAGCTTCTTGGGTATGCAACCGACATTGACGCATGTGCCACCCAGGCCCCAGACGGTACCTTTCGGGGTGGGGTTGACATAATCCAGCAGTGCAACCTTGGCGCCGAGCCTTGCTGACTCCTACAAGAGATGCAGAGTTAATAACACCTCGTGGACAGAATGACTACTATAAAGAACACCGACGGCAATAACAATTACTAAAGTGAATTAACGGCAATTTTTGTTATCGCTGTATTAGTTGAGATAGGAAGCTTATAAGTTCATCATCTGGTCGCCCTGTCATACTCAATGGGTATGTTGAGAAACTGAGTTCAAGGACTGAAAACCACAATGTTTTCAGCCTGAACGCCTTCTTGGGTTTCCGTCTTGAACCGATAGAATAAACACGTTTGACGTGATTCAAAATACGATGTCGTTAAGTATAATGGATAGGGCCGAGCACTACGTGACATAGACATAAATTTGAGATAGACGATCCAGTTATGGGCAAGGGCTGCACAGTAGGTTACTTCAAACGATAATTTAACATTATTTCTACGGTAGGGGAGGGGGGGTCCGGTGCCTTTGTTTATGAAACATGAGACACGCACGGTAATAGGTGGCTCTGCACGTTCACTGCGGACAGGACAAGTGGAAATTGAAAGCGAGTCGTAAACCAGGGATTTGCTTTGATAGATACGTCGGTGGGAATAGAGGAATGGCGTTTAGAATTAATACATCTCCTATGAAATTATTTTCATGCAGAATATATAGGAGCTTCTATACTTACGCAAGACGCTTAATACGAGCAAACACGGGATTGACCAATGAAAAGGTTATGCTAAAATACGCCAAGAACTTTGGAGTTCTTGCCTTAAGTTCCCTGTTTGAAAACGAGAAGCGTGCCTTCTCCCAAAAGCATTAAGCGCGACAGAGAAAACTGACAGTAGTAAATCCCTGACGAAAGATGAAAACTTCCATTCACGGACACTTATAACAACTTAAAACACGACGTCGGGAGTTACAATTGCTTCATCTCCCGGAGGCCGGCCATGTTGTGAAAATAAGGAGGCAGAGTAGTAAGAAACAAGGACGAATTAAGTCTGCACTAAAATCGTAAAAAAATAGTATAAGTAGCTGCATTTCTAATCAGAACAGTTAAGCAAAAGGCAGTTAGTCTGTAAAATCGAAAATGTCAACAGCAGCAGTTCTGGCGGGAAGTTGTAAACAGATGTCTGTGAAAACAAAAAAAGACCCTACTGCAGTCTATCATGGGCTAATATCCCGCATGCCTGCAGTAATCGACGCTGGTGGATACTTGGGAGATACATATGATAGTTGGAACACCGTTGTCGACAGTTTTAAGTGTGTGCCTCTCAACATGGTG